CTCGCACACGTTCTGACAAGTCCACGTCACACTCGCTTCCCGTTAGGTCGTCTCCTGCAACTCCCTTCATTCTCCCTCCTCCTCCTCCTCCTCCTCCTCCTCCCCCTCCCCCTCCTCCTGCCTGCTCCCTCATCCACATCATCCGCCTCCTCCTTCTCCCTTCCATTTCCTTCTCCTTCTCCTCCTCCGCCTCCTCCTCCTCCTCCACCTCCTCTTCATCCCGAACGGCATCTCGGAGCCTAGAATTGCGAGGATGTGTCCAGCGTAAAGGGCTGGACCACCTCGCGCGCGGCATCTCGGACCCCCGAGTTGCGACGATGTCTCGGGCGAAACGTGCTGCGAGGAAGTCTCAGGCGAAACGGGCCGGACCACCTCGAGCGCGGCGTCTCAGAGCTCCGAGTTGCGGGGGCCTCCTGGTGCCTCCTGGGGCCTCCTGGGGACCTCCTGGGGCTTTCTCCTGGGCCTCCTGTGGCCTCCTGAACTCCACCTGGGGCTTCCTGAAGCCTCTTGAGGCTCCCAGGGGGGATATCTAACCTGTGGCCGCTTGGGCCCCTCAAAATAGAGAAGGGGAGACACGACAGCAGGAAGAATCAACGAATCGACACCGGATGTGTATTAACTTGACACGTTCTGATAAGGGGGCCTCCTGGGGCCTCCTGGGAGCCTCCTGGGAATCTCCTGGGGACCCCTGGGGCCTGTCTTGGGCGTCCTGCGGCCTCCTGGAGCTCTCTTGGGCCTCCTGGGGCTCCCAGGGAGGATATGTAACATGTGGTCTTCTGGGCCCCCAGGCTGGACCACCTCTTGCGCGGCATCTGGGAGCTCAGAAAGCGAGAATGTCTTGTGCGAAACAGGCCGGACCACCTTGCGCGCGGCATCTGGGAGCTCAGAGTTGCGAGGATGTCTCAGGCGAGACGGGCCAGACCACATCGCGCAGGGCATCTCAGAGCTCAGAAGTTCGAGGATGTCTCAGGCGAACCGGGCCGGACCACTTCTCGCGCGGCATCTCCGAGGTCAGAGTTTCGAGGATGTCTCAGGACGTCTGTGCTCCCATTTCCCTCGGCCGGAATTAGCTTCTATCACAACAGCACCCCGTTCAGCAAGCTGTTTTGGGAAAAATCGTGACGTCGGATGTCTGGGGAGGGCGGAAGGCAGTGCGCGCATGACGGATGCAGAGGCGGCAGAAACGACGACGGCGGGGACGGGGAGGCGGAGGCAGAGGCGCAGCAGCGGGAGGCGGGAGGCGGGAGGAGGGAGGAGGGAAGAGGAGCCAGGCAGGAAGTGGGAAGAGGGAGGCGGGAGAAGGAATGAGAGAGGTTGTGATTGGAGCCCGTGTGCTACGAAACGTCTCATGCAGAACGGGCCAGACCATCTCGCGCGCAACATCATCGAGCCTCGCATTGCGAAGATGGCTCAATCGAAACGGGCCGGACCACCTCGCGAGCGACATCTTGGAGCTTAGGTCCTCTCCTGCAACTCCCTTCCTTCTCCCTCCTCCTCCTCCTCCTTCTCCTGCCTGCCCCCTCATTCACATCATGTCACATCATCCGCCTCCTCCTTCTCCCTTCCATCTCGTTCTCCTTCTCCTCCTCCTGCTCCTGCTCCTGCTCCTCCTCCTCCTCCTCCTCCACCTCCTCTTCATCCCGAGCGGCATCTCGGAACCTAGAATTGCGAGGATGTCTCCCGTGTAACGGGCTGGACCACCTCGCGCGCGGCATCTCGGACCCCCGAGTTGCGACGATGTCTCGGGCGACACGTGCTGCGAGGAAGTCTCAGGCGAAACGGGCCGGACCACCTCGAGCGCGGCGTCTCAGAGCTCCGAGTTGCGGGGGCCTCCTGGTGCCTCCTGGTGCCTCCTGGGGACCTCCTGGGGTTTTCTCCTGGGCCTCCTGTGGCCTCCTGAACTCCACCTGGGGGTTCCTCTTGGAACTCCCACGGGGGATATCTAACCTGTGGCCGCTTGGGCCCCCCCAAATGGGGGGGGCACGACAGCAGGAAGAATCAACGAATCGACACCAGATGTGTATTAATTTGACACGTTCTGATAGGGGGCCTCCTGGGGCCTCCTGGGAGCCTCCTGGGAATCTCCTGGGGACCCCTGGGGCCTGTCCTGGGCGTCCTGCGGCCTCTTGGAGCGCTCTGGGGCCTCCTGGGGCTCCCAGGGAGGATCTGTAACGTGTGGTCTCCTGGGCCCCCAAGCTGGACCCCCTCTTGCGCGGCGTCTGGGAGCTCGAAGTTGCGAGAATGTTTTGTGCGAAACAGGCCGCACCACCTTGCGCGCGGCATCTGGGAGCTCAGAATTGCGAGGATGTCTCAGGTGACACGGGCAGGACCACCTCGCGCAGGGCATCTCGGAGCAGAAGTTCGAGGATGTCTCAGGCGGGCTCCCAGGGTCCCAGGGAGGATATGTAACATGTGGTCTTCTGGGCCCCCAGGCTGGAACACCTCTTGCGCGGCATCTGGGAGCTCAGAGTTGCGATAATGTCTTATGCGAAACAGGCCGCACCACCTTGCGCGCGGCATCTGGGAACTCAAAGTTGCGAGGGTGTCTCGGGCGGGACGGGCCGGACCACCTCGCGCAGGGCGTCATAGCTCAGAAGTTCGAGGATGTCTCAGGCGAACCGGGCCGGACCACTTCTCGCGCGGCATCTCCGAGGTCAGAGTTTCGAGGATGTCTCAGGCGGCACAAGCCGGACCACCTCGCGCAAGCATCTCAGAGCTCAGAATTTCGAAGATGTCTCAGGCGAAACAGCCCGGACCACCTCTCGCGCGGCGTCCCGGAGCGCAACTTTTCGAGGATGTCTCAGGCGAAACGGCCAATCCCGGCCAACTCAGAAACGAGAGTTGTGAGGATGTCTCAAGCGAAACGGCCCGGACCGCCAAATTTTTGCGAGGATGTCTCTGCCCCGGCTTCCCTCGGCCGGAGTTAGCTTCTATCGCGACAGCACCCCGTTCAGCAAGCTGTTTGGGGAAAAACTGCCACTCCAGCAATGCGCCCAAGGTATGTGGCGAGCTCGCGCTTCTTGCAACCGCCAGCAAGAGAAGAAATTGATACTGCACACAACGTGAAACACCCTGTTGAAATACTGTTCCACAGCCGCCAGCCATGACCACCACGACGCCACAACGCCGCGTAGACAAAACGCGAGCGCACATGATTGAAAAAACACCGCCAGCACCAGCAGGACAACGAAGAAGAGCCAGGATGCGAATGACACGCAGAAAGCCTAGGCCGAAGGCCACATCCACATCGCGACAAACACACTTGCCCCCACCAGCCGCCGATAAGGCACAAAGGCACACCAGGCCCTGGGCGAGGGAAATGCTAGCCGCCACGGCTCGTCCCTCGAGCCCTGCATAAAAATTGCAATGAACCACTCCCGCCAGAAGACAACTGAACAAAGACCAATCCAGTAGAAATGAACCCAGCCCCGCATTGTAATAACAACCACGCCTCGAACAAAAATATCGACATCATGATCGCACCGTGCACGTGCACGCCCAGCAGTCCGCCAACCAAGAAGCACAGCCCCATGAACACGAGGAAAACCACATGGAAAACGAGGAGCTGCAGCATGCACTCGAAGTGGGAGGCATACGAATTCAACCCGGCGTTGTCAGGAGCACCTGGACCTCAAGCGGCAAGGAGCGGCGCACCACCCCACATTAAGCCCCGGGACGACGGCCGAGCGGCGCTGCGGGGGCCCACTCGAGCCGACGTAGCTTGAGGGGCGTCGACGGGGGCGGCGACACCAGCCGAGGCGGCTGCGCCATGAGGTCGGTCCTGGCCCTCCTCGTAGGGGCGGGCCCGAGTTCCGCATCCTCGGCGGCGTACTCCTCGTGGAGCATTTTGTTCATCAGGGGCGTCACCTGCTGCCACGGTATCTCCGAGCACACCGGCATACTCATGGGGTCCTCCCGCTGGTCATGGTCCTCTTCGACCACGAGCTTGTCCCACTTCGAGTAGCTCGCAGACAGCGCCATGGTTCCAGCAGGAGCGGGGGTCGCTGGGCTGTTGCCCAGAGGAAAACATGGCAAACTTGAGCCAAAATGGCTACGGGGAGGAGGAAGAGGAGGAGGAGGAGGAGGAGGAGGAGGAGGAGGAGGAGGAGGAGGAGGAGGAGGAGGAAGAGGAGAGGGAGGAGAAGGAAGGGAGTTGCAGGAGAGGACCTAACAGGAAGCGAGTGTGACGTGGACTTGTCAGAACGTGTGCGAGAGGTTGTCGGGCCCATTTCGTTTGAGACATCCTTCCAATACTGAGCTCCAAGATGTCGCCAAAACTGAGCCTCTGACAGTGCCGACCCGACAGCTTACAGAAATGAAATAACACAAGCGGGCGGAAACACAAAGATCTCACCGCGCCATTTGGCGGGCGCGCACGGCCCTCAACAAAAAAACACAAGCGGCTGGAAACGCAAACGGGTTACAGTACCCCTTTTCAAGATTTCCCTCGCCGCCCCCCAAAAAAAGAACCGGGGGGCAAACAAAAAAAAACACAACCGGCCCCGGCCGCCTCATATGTTTCCAGCCTCCCTGTACTCGTCGACCAGGTGCGAGAGAGTACGACACCCTCTAGCGTTAGCTTCCTGATAGGCATGCGTCACACACATTTTCGTGTAAACATATCATGTGCAAACATCATGGTATCATGTTCTAACATACCATGCCAGCCCGCACTGGACGGGCACGCAATCGACCTTGGAAACCGCAGTGGGTTTAAGAATCCTGTTTGGGGATGCACTCCGGCTATAGTTTGAGGAGGAGGAGGAGTTTTTTTGGGGGGGGAGGAGGAGGAGGAACAGGATTTTTTTTAGGGAGGAGGAGGAGGAGGAGGAGGAGGAGGAGGAGGAGGAGGAGGAGGACGAGGAGGAGGAGGAGGAGGAGCAGGAGGAGGAGGAGGAGGAGGAGGAGGAGCAGGAGGAGCAGGAGGAGGAGGAGGAGGAGGAGGAGGACGAGGAGGCGGCGAGCTCGCCGGAGACCGGCCGGGGCGCCGGCGGCGGATCCAGCGCGGGCTGCGGCGGGAGGCGGGCGTCGGGCTCGCCGATCCGCGGCACTGGCGCCGGGAGCGGCGCCCCGCCCAGCGGCGTGCTCCGCGAGGGCCCCTCCAGCACGCGCATCCTCTCGGGGGTCAGCGTCGCCGCCGCGAGCGCCGGCGCCAGCGCCGTCGGCGTCGTCGGGTCGACCCCCCCGGCAGATCTGCGCTGTCAACTACTACGGCAGGAGCTGGACCACAAGAGGCCTTCCACATGAAGCCCAGCCCCGAGACGCCGGGACGTCCACCGATTTTGTGGTGTGGGAGCGTCACGCTGTCCACAGCAAGGCCATCGAAACCCGGGGCGCCCTGGAGGCGAGGGGGGGGTGCTCCTTGGCACGGGCTTCCACTGCGTGTGCTTGCCGGTCCTGGGCCTCTGGGCGCCCGCTTCTCGGGGCCTCCGGGGGCCTCCGCTGCGTGACCCCTGGAGATCTCCGGGTGCGGACGCGGAGTGAAGCTGGTTCTCTGGGTGCCTCGGTGGGACGCCGAAGGACATGCCAATAGTACGTGCCCTCCTCGGAGGCGCGCGTGCGACCCGAACATGCAGTGCACAAGTCTTGTGGTATATCGTTTCCCGAGCGGCACGGCCAGAAAGCGCAGCCACGACGCATATATGGCCCCGGGGCTGCTCTCCCCCCACCCCCTCCCACCAGATGGCATGGTGTCCAGCCCCCCCCCCCCCCTCATGATGGGTACCCCCACCCCGTGTGCTATGGTGTGGTGTGGTGGTTTGCGCACGTGCGTACGTGTGTACATGCGTGTCCCCCCGCCGCCCCCCTGTGGGTGTGGCGTGGTGTGGTGGTGTGGTGGTTTGCGCGCGTGTAGGCGTGCGCACGTGTGTGCGTTATCCCGCCCCCCTCTGTGGGTGTGGCGTGGTGTGGTGGTGTGCTGCGGTGTGGTGGTTTGCGCACGTGAGTGCGTCACCCCCCGCTTCGGGTGTGGTATGGTGCTGCGTGGTGGTTGTGTGTGTGTGTGTGCGCGTGTCTGTGCGTGCGTGCGCGTGCGCGCTTGCGTGTGTGTCTCCAGCGTAGCCGTCAGCAAAGGCAGCGCCATCGACGTCGTCTTCGCTGTCGTCGTCGTCGTCGTCGTCTTCGCAGTCGTCGCCGCCGCCGTCGCCGCCGTCGTCGTCACCGTCGTCGTCGTCACCGTCGTCGTCGTCGTCGTCGTCGTCGTCGTCGTCGTCGTCGTCGTCGTCGTCGTCGTCGTGTTCCCCGTCGTCTTCGCCGTCGTCGTCGCCGTCGTCGCCGCTGTCGTCGTCGCCGTCTTCGTTGCCGTCGTCGTCGCCGCCGCCCTCCCCCCATGCCATCGGGGGAAGGGTTGGGGGGACGTGGGAACCCTGGGACCCATACCATCTGAGGGGGGGGGCCCTGGGCACCCGACACCCTGGGTCATACATTGTAAGATTTCTCGGTGCGCGCGTCGCCCCCTGGGGGGGGCGACGCACACATAGTTTTAGTATGTTGGGGTGGCGCCGACTCAGTACCGAGGAAAAAATGCCTGGCGACGGAGCCCGACCCAGCTGCATGCGACAGATCTTTCGCCCATCCCGCCCTCTATTTTCCAACATCGCCTTTCGTGCGAGACGGGGATGTGTCCATAGTCGACGTTTGGAGCCGATCTTCCAGGACCTCGAAAAGGACCTGGGAAGGTAATTGACATGGACATTTTCGCCCCCCACAGCACCTACATGTGTCCATGTCCGCTACAATCCACCACCATGTTCCCTGGCACGTTGAGGCGTGGTAGGGTTGCCGCAAGCTTCTGAGAACCCCCTCCCAATCGTAGAGTGTCGCATGCACCGCGTACCCTCCCGAGGCCATGACCCCTGATAAACAAAAACAGCGGACCCGCGCTCCCGAGGCTACAATCCCTGATTAAAAACTATGAAACCGCACCCCCGAGCTTCCAAGATGACCAAAATAACCCCATGCCCACGATAATAATGTACCCCCCCCTTAAGTCGTTAGAGTTTTTTATCGTCGGCCAATAAGAGTTTGGTCGGGGGCGCGGGGCGCGGAGGCCAAACTTCATTATCACCTCGGAACGTTATGCTGAGATAGCAAGATCAAGTTATGTTGAAATAGCAACATCAAGCGAAGCGATCACACTTGTTTCAGGATGTCTCAAGCGAAACCAAGAATTTTGGGAGGCAGGCTCAAACGAAACGAGCAATGTTTCAAGGATGTCTCAAGCGAAACCAGTAATTCTGTGAGGATGACTCGAGCGATTCGAGAAGCTTGTCGAGGATGTCTCAAGCGAAGCAAGCATATACTCGAGGATGTCTCGAGCGATTCGAGAAGCTTGTCGAGGATGTCTCAGGCGAAACAAGCATATACTCGAGGATGTCTCAAGCGAAACAAGCATATACTGAAGGATGTCTCAAGCGAAACGATACGTTTCTTAAGGATGTCTCAAGCGAAAACAACAATTCTGTGAGGATGTCTCAAGCGAAACCAAGAATTTTGGGAGGCAGGCTCAAACGACACGAGCAATGTTTCAAGGATGTCTCAAGCGAAACCAGCATATACTCGAGGATGTCTCAAGCGATTCGAGAAGCTTGTCGAGGATGTCTCAAGCGAAACAAGCATATACTCGAGGATTGCTCTTTTTCTTCCTCTTCTCTTCCCCTTCTTGTTCTCAATTCATATTTTTATTTCTTTATATATTTCTTTATTTCTTTCTTTTTTCCTCTCTCTCACCATGCCCCCCTGAACTTGTTTATCCCTGGTGTTGATTATCCATGGCAAGTGAGGCACATGAGCTACCCTACACGAGCACTCAAACAAATCATTTTTCAGAAAGCGTTTGTAAATCAAATATAATATATTTGGAACTTGAAATTTTTGCTCTTTTTCTTCCTCTTCTCTTCTCCTTCTTTTTTCTTAACTTATATTGTTATTTCTTTATATATTTCTTTATTTCTTTCTTTTATTCCTCTCTCTCCCCATGCCCCCCTGAACTTGTTTATCCCTGGGGTTGATTATCCACGGAAAGTGTGGCACATGAGCTACCCTACACGAGCACTTAAACATTTCAATTTTCATAAAGCGCTTGTAAATAAAAATTTAATACATTTGAATCTTCAGATTTTTTGTTTTATCCTCCTTTCCTCTCCTCTTCTACGTCTCCTCCTCATTTCTTCTTGTCCTTTTCCTTTTTAATATTTCTTTTATGTATTTCCCTCAACTCTCTCTTTGTTTTCTTTATGTCTCTCTTTATATATTTCTCTCTCCCCATGCGCCCCTGAACTTGTTTATCCCTGGGGTTGATTACCCACGGAAAGTGAGGCACATGAGCTCCTACACGAGCACTTAAAACAACAAAAACAAGTTTCATAAAGCGTTTGTAAATAAAATATAATAGATTTGGAACTTGAAATTTTTGCTTTTCCTCTTCCTCTCCTCTTCTACTTCTCCTCTTGAATTTTTCTTCTCCTCTTCAGTTTCATTATTTCTTCTCTCTCTCTCGTTCTATCTCTCTGTCTCTCTCCCCCCCATGCCCCCCTGAACTTGTTTATCCCTGGGGTTGATTATCCATGGAAAATCTGATAGTTTTTTTTTAATATTATTTCCTCTCTGTTTTTTCTCTCTCTGTTTCTCTATCTCTCTCTCCTCTTGCTCCTCTCCTGTCTTCTCCTTTCCTCTCCTCCTCTCCTTCCTCTCTTGCTTTTCATTATCTCCTCTTCTTCTCTCTCTCTCTCTCTCTCTTTCTCAATTTTCATGAAGCGTTTCTAAATAAAATCTGATGGATTTAAAACTTGAAATTGTTGCTGTTCCTCCTCCTCCTCTATCTGTCTTTCTTTCTATATATCTTCTCTTCTTCTTATTATTATTCTTATTATTCTTCTTCTTTATTATAAGTTTTTTTGTTTTTTTTTATTTTTATTTTTCTGCGAAATGTGTTATATCTTTCTTATTTTAAAACATATTTCTTTTTTATCTTCTTTTTTTTCCTTATCTCTCTCTCTCTCAGCACAACCCCCCAGCACAACCCTCCAGCACAACCCTCCAGCACAACCCTCCAGCACAACCGTGCAGCACAACCCCTCAGCACAACCTCTTGAGGTTTATTATCGTCGGCAGTTTTTTATCATCGGCAGTGGTCGATAGCAACTCCTGAGCTCTCCGGGAACACGGCGGCACGCAAATGATACGCATTTTTTGAAAACCTTCATTTTGAAAAGAAATATATTTTATTTAATCGCGAATTCCATTGAAATCTTTTCGAATTTGCGAAATCGAGCCGTCAGGCGCTTGAATGCCGCACTGCGTTCGAGATTTAGGCGAAAGCGTGTGCGACGCAATTTTCTCATGACACGCATTTTTTTGAAAAACCTTATTTTGACAAAAAATACTATATTTGGTTGCGAATTCCATTGAAATCCTTTCGAAATTGCGAATTCGAACCCGCACGCGCCTGAATGCCACACTGCGTTCGATATTCGGGCAAAAGCGCGTGCGACGCAAATTTCTCATAAATGCGTCGCGTGCTTAAATCTCGAACGCAATGTGGCATTCAAGCGCCTGACGGCTCGATTTCGCAATTTTGAAAGGATTACAATTGAATTCGCAATTAAAACAGTTTTTTTTTTTTTTTTTTCAAAATGAAGCTTTTCAAAAAATGCGTATCATTTGCGTGCCGCCGTCTTCCGGGAGAGCTCAGGAGTTGCGATTGACCACTGCCGATGATAAAAAACTGCCGACGATAATAAACCTCAGCCGATGATAAAAAACTGCCGACGATAATAAACCTCAGAGGAGCGCACGGCTGGAGAGAGAGAGAGAGTCTCACCTCTCTCTCTCTCTCTCTCTCCCTCCCTCCCTCTCTCCTCTTTCTCTCACTATCTCTCTCTGCTCAAGGTGAGCTGCTGAAGCAGAGCTGCTCAAGAAGATGGCTGCTCAGAGAGCAGAACCAGACAATGAGACCTTCGAGAATAAAAAACACAATTATTTCGAGGATGTCTCAAGCGAAATAAGCAATAGTTCGACGGTGTCTCAAGCGAAATAAGCAATAGTTTCAGGATGTCTCAAGCGAAATACGCAATAGTTTCAGGATGTTCAGGCGAACTCAGCAATAGTTTGATGATGTTTCAAGCGAAAAACATAATTATTTCGAGGATGTCTCAAGCGAACTAAGCAATATTTTGACGGTGTCTCAAGCGAAATAAGCAATGGTTTGTGGATGTCTCAAGCGAAACAAGGGATTTGTCGAGGATGTCTCCAGCGAGATAAGCCATTGTTGAGGATATTTTAATGAAGACTAAACGCCAAGGATGTCTCAAAACGTGCTCGGTTTGGTCTCCTCTTGATCATCTCTTACTTCAAGATTATGCTGAGGTCTGGTGGGCTACTTTGATTATCTCCCCCTGAACCCCGAACTTTATTATCCCCTAGTGTTTATTATCGTGAGCATGGGGTTAAACAACCAAGGTCACCCAAATCGTCAATGTTGTCCAAGACGCGTTCAAGACGGCCTGAGACAGCCAAAGAGGCAGGACGCTAAGGCCATCAGAATGGCCCAAGATGCCTGCAAGAAGGCCCAAGAGGGCCCCAAGAGGACCCACGATAGCCGCCTCAAGACGGCCCAAGAGGCCCCCAGGACGGCCTGAGGGCCACAAGAGGATCCCCAGGAGGGCCCGAAGATGCCAACTCTCATTGATTCCCCTGTGGTGTTTGAGAGATTTGGGCGCCTTCCTCTTTTTCAGGTGACCTTCAGCTTCAGAGGGCCCTACAGGCCTCCAGGATGGCGGCGGAGTGGCCCGGTGCTCTTCGAAGACGGCCTCGAGGTAGCCAAAAGAGGTCCTGCCGAGAGGGACCGCAGTCGCCCCAGGGACTCCCCGCGAGGACCTCGGCTAGCCCCCAGACGGCCAGTGGCCCCACGACCGCTCCAGAGGACCTCAAGAAGGCCCAAGAGGCCCCACAGTGACCACTGGACCCCCACGACTGCCTCACAGCAGCCCAAGATGGGACGGAGGAGAGGGAGGAAGACGACGAGAACGAGAGAAGGGAACGCTCGACACTACGCGGATGAGCTCGTCGTATGTGACGGCTCTCCCCAGCCTGGGCATACAGGGTGTCACGCGTGACCTACAGAGGCCTCCTAGATGGGGTCGGAATAGATGGAGTCGGAGGATCGCGCCGCATCGCTGGTACATCGGCGATGCATCGGTGACGCATCGGCGATGCACCAGCCTTGCATCGTCGACGTCGGCGGTGCATCGGCGACGCAGAACGGGCTCCGCATCGAGCCGCATGAGCCATGCATTGGCGATGCGGCGCGACCCTCCAACCCCACCTACTCCGACCCCATCGAGGAGGAGAAGGAGGAGGAGGAGGCGGAGGAGGAGGAGGAGGAGGAGGAGATGGAGGAGGAGGAGGAGGAGGAGGAGGACGACGAGGGAGGAGGAGGAGGAGGAGGAGAAGGAGGAGGAGGAGGAGGAGGAGAAGATGGAGGCGGAGGAGGCGGAGGGGAGTGGAGGAGGAGGAGGCGGAGGAGGAGGCGGAGGAGGAGGAGGAGGAGGAGGAGGAGGAGGAGGAGGAGGAGATGAAGGAGGAGGAGGAGGAGGAGGAGGCGGAGGAGGAGGAGGCCTGTAACCCAAGGCGGCCTCCCGTGCCCTCCCGAAGCGCGGTCACCCTCCGGAGTGCCGGGCCGGCACGGGGGGCGCGCCTTCCGGGCGGCTAAAGTCCGCCGCGCCTCCTGGAGATTGGGGCCCACCAGAGGGAGTGGGCTTAGGTCGGGCATGTCTGAAGGGGCCCTGGGACACACAAATAAATACACACAAATAACAGGATTCCCCATATTTTCCTATATTTTCTGGGCTTTTGTCTTCCGCCCCACTGCCCATATTTTCCTATATTTTCCTGGAGATCGACGATTCATTGTGTCAGTATGTTTTTTCCCCTCTTGAATGTCCTCCTACAGGGGGATTTTGTACGACAAATAGAAAAATAGTCAAACAAACATACTCCGAACGGATCACGCATAGCCAACAAAAATCCTCACCAGACTGTGTTCTGATTATCTTTAAATGTTCCTCCTGTAGAGGGACAGTCCCGACAGAAGAGCGGACATGTGGGACAGATCCTGGCCTCTCGGGGGTGCCGATGGGGGCGAACAGCCCAGGGAAAAGCAGCACGTGCACAGTCGGCACGCATCATGAGGGCGCGCGATACGGATGCAGGGGCCCTGGAAGCCCCTTTCGAGGCTCTCCGAGCGGGGGGGGGGCGGCCGACGAAAGCGGCCAAGGACGGGCCGAGGAGGGACGGACGCAAGGGTAATTGCCCTGGGGAAGGTTGTCTATCCTTACCATGCGGGTCGACTGTACTGAGTATCGTTTCATCGATCCCCATCCCCACCAGCGTGGGCTGGGCCCCACTGGCCGATTTGCCCCCCTGGATGGGGATGTAGGCTCTATGCTTCGGGCTTCGAGGGGTGCATCCCCAACTGGGGGTGTACTTTGGTGGGGGTCTCAAAGGGGATGAGCACTGGGTTGGAGATCGGTTGAACGATGCTGATGCTCTGAGACCCCGTGGGAGGCCCAGATCCTCGCGCCAGCGCCTCCCCGCCCGCGCCTGCCTCCCGCTCCCCGGGCGGCCAGCTCGGTGCTGCGCCCCTCCTCCCCCTGGGATGCTCGGCGATGCACCCGTTAGAGGAAAAAAGAACTATGCACATGCACCGATGCTGGCCAGGCCCGTCCTGAGCCCAGGATCGGTGCATGCGCCCTCCTGCCTTGGCCACGAAGGCAGATGCACCGATCCCGGGTCAAGGGTGGGCCTTGCCAGGATCGGTGCATGTGCATAGTTCTCTTCGCCGGAACCCTTGGGAAGGTGGCCCCAGCCTTACTGTGCGGGCCGACTGTGGCCCAGGGGAGAGCAATAAGTGAGCGTTTTTTATCATTCGGCATTTCGACACTGGGCGGGAAGGGGGGGATGGGGGGGGGGGGTCTGGCTCCGGACCTCTGCTTCGTGCGACTGTTTGCGACAGTGCGTCCCATGGGGGAGGGACTCCACCTGCTCGAAACAGGCGCCGAAGACAGCCAAGATCCACTCCAGGGGGGGAGGGGGGGTCCGAGGGCCCGCGCCGATCGGCAAAGCAATGAATAAAGAAACGATCACTGCGTGGAGCCAGGGGCGCCGATGCTCCATGCCTTCGGCGGGGCTCCCGCCCGAATGCGTGTGCTGCGCCCGACCCTGGGGCCGATCGCCTCGCCCGCCGCCTCCGAGGCCTCGGCCTCCAAGGGGCTGCCCGGGTCCTCTCGAGCACCAGGCCGAGCAGCCGCGCGTTGTCGGCGCTGGTGGATAGCGCCTCCGCTGCGTCGCGCCCGACCTCCTCGAGCTCCCGCGCCTAGACAAGCACGCTCCACTGCTCGCAGAGCAGCTACTCGCAATTCGCCGGGATCCGCCGCGGGGGATTACGACATGTTGCATGGGGAGGCGAGCATCCGTGTTTTTTCTCTGGCGCTTGCGAGTAGGTACTTTACGGGTAGTGTTATGTCGGGCGTGTCCTCCTACAGGGGGATTTTCGACGAACAAATAAAAATACCCCCCAAATAATCCAAAAAGGTAAAAAACAAAAAAAACTAAGAAATAGTCCCCAGACTATTTTTGGAGTATGTTCTGACTATTTTTGGAATTGTTTTTGTTTCTCTCGTCGAAAATCCCCCTGCAGGGGGACAGGCCCGACTTAAGGGTAGTGGAACGCGCTCGGTGAGCGCCTGCTCCGACGAGCGCCGCCAGACGTGGGAGAGCTGCTGGCGGAGCTCCTTCTCCGGCCCGGGCGGGGGGCCGCCGTGCGACCGTTTCCCGGACCAGGACGTCGCGTGCGCGTCGCTCGGCAGCAACCGCTCCTGGCAGGACGCGGTATACATATACCCCTCCCTCCCACACTCCTCCTCCTCCTCCCACACTCCTCCTCCCCCTCGACCTGCCCCTCCCCCTCCCCCTCGACCTGCACCTCCCCCTCCCCCTCGACCTTCTCCTCCTCCTCCTCCTCCTCCTCCTCCAACCCTCCTCCAACCCTCTTCCATCTATACGACCACCCTTCGGGTGATGAGGAGGCAGTGGAGGGGGGAGAGAGGGGGGGGAACCAACATCTGACTCAATCGATCTCACCATCGATCCCACTCAACAGGACACCACGGTACACCACGGGACACTTGTCGATCTCACTATCGGTGTTACTATCGATCTCACTCAACGGGACACCACAGGACACCACGGGACACTTCGGGGGCACCACACCGATCTCAATATCGATCTCAGTATCGATCTTACTCAACGGGACACCACGGTACACCACGGGACACTCGTCGATCTCACTATCGATCTCACTATCGATCTCACTTGTGGGGACACTACGGAACACCACGGGACACCTCGGGGCCCACATCGATCTCAGTATCAATCTCACTATCGATCTGACTCAACGGGACACCACGGGACACCACGGGACACCTGTCGATCTCACTATCGATCTCCCTATCGATCTCACTTTTGGGGACACCACGGGACACCTTGGGGTACCACATCGATCTCAGTATCGATCTCACTATCGATCTCACTCAACGGGACACCACCGGACAGCACGGGACACCACAGGACATCGCGGGACACCGCGAGCCACCGCCGGACGGACGGACGGACGGGGGAGAATCATTTGTCTTGACTTCGCCCTAGCAACGGCGGGTTCTTTCCTCTCGCGCGCCCGCGCAGCTTCGCCTCGCCCGCACGCACGACATAAACGAAACGAAATGATTTCCCGGTTAAGAGTCTCCGTTCCACTGCGATCTCACCCCCCAACCTCCGATACTGGGTGCTGGGGGGGGGGGCTGTCCACACACACATATATATATATATATATATATATATATATACACATGTATATACATATGCATGTTGTACAGGACCGTGCTTGCACTTAGGATTTTTTGCTATGTTCTATAAAGGACAGGGCCGTATCTTCGGTCTGGCGGCTGCGTGGCCGCCGACGTCGCCCCGTCGCCGCCCGTCGTCTGGGCCGCGTCTTCGGCCTGGCGGCTATGTGGCCGCCGTCGCCGCCCCGTCGCCGTTTCGTCGCCGCCCGCCGTCTGGGCCTGCGTGGCGGTCGCCGCGCGTGTTGCCGCCGTCGCCGCCCCGCCGTCGCCCCACATAGACTGCACAACATGGGTTGCAAAACGTACATGTCCTCTCTTGAGGAATTTGGACCCACCACCCCACGAGGCCATGATTCTCGGCCACCGCGGGGGTGTGCAATCTACATACGAGTCTGCCCCATCGGTCGATCGAAAGAGGACTTCACAGGATCCCAGCCGAACCGGTTTCGACCCCCCATATGCAAAAAACAATGCGCGCACACACACTCGTTTAGCAAAAAACGACACTTTTCAAAAACCCTCGCCTGAAGAGTGTGGCGAAGTGCACGTGGGCGCGTCGTCGCACGCACAACGAACATGTTCGGTAACTTCTCATGCTTCGTAAAGATTTTGAATCGAATGGCCCGGAAACATGTAACACACACGTCGTCGTGCAGCGCCACCTCTTTTCACAAAAAGTCCGCGCGCACGCGTCCATGCGAACTCTGGGAAAACATGCGTTTGCAACATACCCATCACATGCGACCGAACTGGCCTACCGCGCGCGCGTGTCGAAATCATTCCAACGCTCTTGTGCGCGTGCTGGGGGGCACGATCCCTGTCGAATAATGCCATGCGGGCCACTCGCGCCCATCGGCCGCGCGCGCACGTCGAGCTCCTTCCAAAACCCCCGTCGCCCACGCGAGGACACGATCATCGTCATCCGCGTGATCAGCATCGGCGCCGCCATTGTTCTTGCCGTCGTCACCGTCATCGTCGTCACCAGCATCGCAGCAATCATCATCGTGTCTGCCGTAGTCGACGTCGCCATAATAACGCGCCCACCCGAACCGACTCGCACAAAAGCGCCCGCGCGTCGGCGCCACCGCGGCCGAGTCGGTCGTGCCAGACTAGCTGGCCGACCTGCGCACGAACCTGCGTGCGCTAGCGCGGCCGCAGCGCTGTGCCACCTAGCGCCAAGCACTCACCGCAATCGCTGCACCATGGGCTTTGCAGACACAATTGCGGGTGGGTGGGTGGGACGATGGCGCGAGCAGCGGGCTGACAAATCACTGCGAACAGAAACTACGCTCACTGCGTAGGCTGCACCACGTAGATTGCGCGCTATATAGGCTGCATCCCAAATGTGGCACAACATGCGTTGCACCACAAATGTTGTACAACATCGATTGGAGAGTGAAAGAGGGGGTCTACAACAGGGGGTCTTCAATGGGGGCTGAATGGCCCATGTATGCTCAGTGTATCGCTCATGTATGTGAACGGGTACGATTGGCATCCAATGTTGGCGGTCATTGAGGGCCAGTCGTTCGTGCCCGCGCGTTGCCCGCGCGGGCACACGCGCCGTCCATCCATTATCGTTCATGCGTGCGGGGGTTCTTGCATATTGCGCGTGGGGCAGCGAAGTGGAGTGCAAGTGTCTCTTGATTGTGCGATTGATGATCGTGTATGTTCCCAAACGATGACTTCTCGACCCCCAAGACAGATTTGGAATGGGGGCCACTTTTCTCCCAAAGTGTGAATTCACATTTTCCTTTTTCCCAAAATGTGAATTCACATTTTCCTTTTTCCCAAAATGTGAATTCACATTTTGGCCCGTTTCATAAGGAAACCTACACAACATTCCAAAACGTGAATTCACATTTTCCTTTTTTTCCAAAATGTGAATTCACATTTTCCTTTTTCCCAAAATGTGAATTCACATTTTGCTTTTCCCCACAATGTGAATTCACATTTTGCCCTGGCCTTCAAGATCCCCAACACTGAGGCGTGTTCTTCCGCATGTCAGATTGGCTGGGCAGATTTCGACACTCACCTGACCGTTTTCGTGTGTTCCAGCCTTTTCTTTTTGCGCCCTCAGCGCACGTTGCCTTCGTCGCCTTTCCCGAGCCCCCCGCCCCCTTGCTTCCTTTCCTTTCAAGTCTCGCGCATGGGTGCAGGCGGGGGGCTTCCATTAGTTCCCCCGCCGAACACAGCAATCGAGGATGCATCGCCCATTCATGGCCCATAAAGACATCATTGCCGGGACCCTGCGGCCGACCCCCACTTTCACCCTCCAAATCGATTGCACCACGCAGACCGCTCCACATATCCGCCACCGGGCCGCGAGGCCCGAAAGGAGTTTCTCCTCCTCCTCCTCCAAGCTTTCACGCGTGCTCTGTCCTGAGTCCTGTGTTCACCATTTCGTGTTGCAAGTTGACCACGACTCTGCCACATCGTCCATCCGACATATGAAGTCGCAGCACCCCAGCCAAAACGGTAACGAACCCCCCCCTCCTCCCCATCGTCTGCAACATAAATGCGCGCACGCCCGTTTATCACAAATCATAAGTTTTCAAGAACCCCTCGCAACAAAAGGGGACGAAACGTACACGCGCGCGTCGTTGCGCGCGTGCCGATGTCCTTGTGTAGAACCTTAAGCTTCGGTGGAATTTCAAAATGGATTTATAAGATCACACGGTTTCACAACACGTTTTCTCAACATAAAATTACACAAACAACTGCGTTCGCACTCCTGCGGACTCTTGGACAAATCACTGCGTTTTCCTTACCCACCAACATTTCCATAACATGTTACCAAACGAACCTCTCGCGAAAGCGTGTCGGAATCGCTCGACCGTCCTTTGCGCGCAAGGACTTCAGCAACGAGTGCCCCGAACACATATCAAACCACATGGTTTTGCAACATCAGTTTTCATAACACCCTGCGCGCGCTCTTGCGAGCCCGTAAGACAACCATCGGTTTCCAACCGAATGTCATCGGGCCTCTCGCGCTGCATGCCTGACTCATCGGAACGCCCTTGAGCGCGTGCTGGGGGGCACGATCCGTGTCAAATAATCCCACGCGGGCCACTCGCGCGCGTCGGCCGCGTGCGCAAGTCGAACTCCTTCCGACACCTGCATCACCGACGCGAAGACATCGTCATCGTTATCGGCGGCCGTGATCAACATCTGCGCCGTCTTTGGCCCTGCCGTCGTCATCGCCATCATCGTCGCCACCATCGCTACTCTCATCATCGTGTCTTCCGTTGTCGGCGTTGCCACGCTACCGTGCCCGCCCAAGTCGCCGACTCGGTCAGCTCCACAGCGGCCGCATCGGTCGCGCCAAACTATCTGGCCGCTGCGCGCGCGAGCATGCGCGGGCTAGCGCGGCCGCAGAGATGCACCAGCCAAATCCAAACACTACGGTGTACAACATAGTTTGCACATCAAATACTGCTGCATTGCACCATGTACGTATGTATGTATGTGCATATATCTAGTGCCCCACAAACATTGCACATACAATGTGTTGCCCCATATGTCGCACCACTTTACGGCACAGCATACATTGTGCTAGACACACACACACACGTGCACATATATATATATATATATATACACACACTAGAACCATCGCGCGCCCTTCGCACGCGCTCACGTTCTAGCCCATGCCGGACGCGCGCTAGAAGATCTTGGACAGCGCTATCGAGCACAGGCGCGTGACATAGTCGTGCCTTTTGAGGGCCTCTTGGGAATCTCTTGGGTCTTCGTGGGGGCATCTGAAGGGCTTCTGGGGGTCTCCGTGCTTCCTCAATCGGCTGTTGGAGGCACCTCTTGGAAGTTTCTCGAGGGGGAATCCCGTTTCCCTGCAGCGTCGTCTTCTCCTCCACTGCGCCCGTCGCTTTCTCTCCTGTCCTACAACCTTTTCCTGAAGCGTGTCGGTACAAACCGAAACGGAACAACTGCAGCGTCGTCTTCTCCTCCACTGCGCCCGT